GGGGGGGGGGGGGGTGTTGATTTAAGAGGCAAAACTGTTGCCCTGGCCTCAGCAATTAGAGTGGCAATCCACACACCGAAGGGTCTCGGGTTTGATTCCCAGTCAATGGCACATACCAGTTGATGTGTCTCTCTCACATCGATGTTTCTCTCTCTCTTTCTCTCTCTCCCCCAGCAATGGGAAAAAATATCCTCGGGTGAGGATTAACCAAAAATAAAAATAAAGAAGTTTAATAACTGTACAAGTAAGTGATGGGTATGTGGGGGTTCATCATACTATTCTCTCTACTGTTGTGTATCTTTTAGATTTTCCATAACAATGTTTTAAAAGAATGAGAATTAAATATCATTCAGTGTATACTAATAAAATATATTTGTCAACAAACATTTTAACTTTTTCTTTTAATTGACTTGTGAGAGAGGGAGAGAGAGAGAGAGAGAAACATCAATCACACAGGCCCTGACCAAAGATCAAACCCACAACCTGGATAAGTGCCCTGACCGGAATTGAACCCTCCATCTTTTGGTGTAGGGACAAATGAGCCACACTGGCCAGGGTGTCAACAAACATTTTTAAATATTTGATAAGAAATAATGTATATTAGCAAAACTGCCAATGATCTGTGTCCCTGGAAAGGTTCAATTCTTAAAACAAATTTCTCCCTGGTTGGTATGGCTCAGTTAGTTGGGCATCATCTAGTCAGCAAAGGGTTGTGAGTGAGATGCCCCCCCCCAACCATGGCTCGATTCCCCTGCCCCAGGAGGTATTTCACTTTCACATGGATTCTCTCTCCCCTTCTCCCTTCCTCTCTCTCTAAAAATCAATAAAATTATTTTAAAAACAAACAAATTTCATTTCCTTAAATCCCTAATCAAGCAGAAATGCTTGCAAAGGAAGACAGTACAGCAACTAGTTTCTCCCCCCAATGGTCTGTGAGATGCAAAGACCAGGCATTCCCAGGGCTGCACTTCTTTCAGGGCCCAAGTGACTCTCAACTCTACAATTATCCATGACAACTCTGCCAAGAACTTTCCTGAAACAGAATCTACATCATATCACTTTTGTGACCCTTATGGGGCCCAGGGCCATCCCAGAGATTCTGATGTAATTTGCCAGGAGTGGGACTCAGGTTTCAGTATATTTTACCTTTTTAAAAAATTGATTTGAGAGAGACATGTATCTCTTCCCCCCCACACACAACCCTCACCCCTGCACTTGCTCCAGCACCCTGGGGATTGATCCAAAACCTGGGTCTGTGCTGGACCAGGAACCCAATCCGCCACCTCCTGGGGCGCAGGACAGCACTCCAACCAACCGAGCCACGAAGGTTAGGGAGTGATTACAGTGTATTTTAGAAACTCCCATGAGGATTCTTATTTGCAGCCTGGACAAACTACTGGGCCCTAATTTGTCCTTGGTACTAATAACTATTTATTGAATCAGTGAATTAGTAAAAGGAGCTCCCTTGATAGCCACAACAACGGAAAGGCAGGTGGGACACAGCATCCACATTTTAGTTGTTAAACCCTGAGGGAAAAGGGCATTCTCGCCCCACTCCAGTGAAGCCAGTAGCTTTGGGAGATACTCCTCCACACTGGAGAGAGCCACTGTACCCAAGGGCAGTTTGCTTCTGCCCCTGCCCAGAGGTGGGGTGTGGGGAGCAAGAGTGGAGTTGTGCTGAGTCCGTTGCTTCCCTGGTCCTGCGGTGATTCTCAATGAGGTGGGTGGCAGGGAGGAGGTACAGCGGAAGGGAAGTTGCAGAGCTAGGTTGGGGTTGACCCCTGGTCAGGCAGTGTTAACATAAAATCGCACAAAACTAAGGGAAGCTGAGGACTCTATCATACCCTCCCCCCTCCGCTGCAAGCAGGGTGAGCGCCCATGTAGCCCGGTCAGGTCTTCCCTATTCTTGCTTTACCCGCCTGCTCCATCTCAAGCCCCAGCGAAGAACCCGACTTGGGCCTCAAACCAAGTTGTCCGATGCAATAAGCAGTGGGAACTGCTTGCAATAGGAATCATCTGGTTCCCCGCCGCGTCCCTCCCGCCCACTCGAGCACACCATTTGGTGACCACAGAGTCAGTGCATCCCCCAAACGCCGTTGGAAAGGGGTTGTCAGGAAGGTCAATGCGCTTGAGCGCAGGCAGGAGCCTTCACTTTGCTGATGGCCACAGTACTGGATGTGGGCTGATGTGGGCACGGGTGGGACTCTAAGGCAGGTTTTTGACACAGGGTGGACCACAAAGGTGGAGGTGCCTAGAGACACTGGCTTTACAAATAAGGAAACTGAGCTCGGATTGGGGAAATCACTCGCTCAAGTCCCCACAGCAGTCGCAGGCTGATCTACACCCTTAGAATCCACCCTTTTAGCTCCGCGTCCCCGCCCCAGCTACCTGTTGCCATGGTGACGAGCGCAGGCTCCGGCAGAGACTCGGACTGTGGTCGCAGGAGGCTGGAGAGGCTGACCACCCGGCTGGATATGCTGACCATGAGCCAAGCCCCGTCCAGGGCCCGCGGGCAACTCGGCTCCGGGGTCAGGCCCCTGGCCCAGCGCGCCGAGGCGGGGAGCGGGACGTAGCGGCTCATCTCGCAGTGCGGGGCGGGGGCGCTCCGGGGGTACCGCCGCAGCGCCGCCTGGAGGGCGCCGGCGGGGTCTGTGGGGCGGAGGGAGAGCGGATGTGCTCGCTGCTCGGCAAGTGGTGGGCAGCGTCCGCGACATTTCAAACGCACAGCTACCCGGCAGGGAGAGATCCTGAAGCAATCCAGACTTATTTACAAAGGAGGAAACCGAGGCTCGAGGCGACCTAAGGGGGAGGGGGTTTCGGTGCGGGGTACAGTTGGAGGCGAGTCCGGGAAGACTCACCGTGTACTTTAAGGTAGAGCTCGGGGTCGAGGTCGGGCCGGGGCGGTGGTCCCCCCGGACCCTGGCGCAGCAGCAGAGCAGCGGGTCTCTTGGCCAAACGGCCCCCGCCGGCGTCCTCCACCAGCCAGCACTCGATCACCGCGGGGCCCGCCGACGCTGCGGTCACCAAGCCTGCGGGAGACGCGCGACTGAGGGGCGGCTCGGAAGTCGGGGGACCCAGCCTCCCACCACCACCCACGCGTCGGGCACGTGGCGGGGTCACCTTCCTCCGCTTCCCCCCGTTGGGTTCCAGGGCAGAGTTGCGGGGTTCGCTCACCCAAAGCCACAGCGAGGAGTAGAGACAAGGGCTTCATGGTGCCGCGACCTCCTCAGTCCCGAAGCCTCCTCTTCCCCCTTTCACTTTCACTTTCTTCGAAACGAAAGCAGGAGGGGCGGCGGAAATCCCCGCCCCGGGTAGGTGAGGGCGTGGGAGGCAGGTGCTTCCTTCACTGGGGGTAGGGATGCCGGACCGTCCTCCCCAGGTCCCGCGGGGGTCCTCTGCAGGCCGCGCCCCCCTCCCGAACGACCCGGCGCGTCCGAGTCCCAGCGCTCTGCCCAACCTGGGCTCCTCCTCCCGCTCCGACCCGGAGAATCCACTTCGAGAACCATTCCTCCGCCTTCCCCCACCTGGGCCGGGTCCCCAGCAAACACATAGGGGTTGTGAGAGGCCAAGTGAAACCAATAAATATTTTAATCACCATTTAAAAAAAATAAGATTTAAAATAAAAACCTTGTACTCCTACGACTTCCTCCCTCCCTGTCTCCACTCCCTCCCCAATGAGAATAGAGGGGACCCCAAGGTAGGGGAGGAAGGATTAGGGTAAATATAAGGGGCACATTCTTNAGGGAGAGCGGATGTGCTCGCTGCTCGGCAAGTGGTGGGCAGCGTCCGCGACATTTCAAACGCACAGCTACCCGGCAGGGAGAGATCCTGAAGCAATCCAGACTTATTTACAAAGGAGGAAACCGAGGCTCGAGGCGACCTAAGGGGGAGGGGGTTTCGGTGCGGGGTACAGTTGGAGGCGAGTCCGGGAAGACTCACCGTGTACTTTAAGGTAGAGCTCGGGGTCGAGGTCGGGCCGGGGCGGTGGTCCCCCCGGACCCTGGCGCAGCAGCAGAGCAGCGGGTCTCTTGGCCAAACGGCCCCCGCCGGCGTCCTCCACCAGCCAGCACTCGATCACCGCGGGGCCCGCCGACGCTGCGGTCACCAAGCCTGCGGGAGACGCGCGACTGAGGGGCGGCTCGGAAGTCGGGGGACCCAGCCTCCCACCACCACCCACGCGTCGGGCACGTGGCGGGGTCACCTTCCTCCGCTTCCCCCCGTTGGGTTCCAGGGCAGAGTTGCGGGGTTCGCTCACCCAAAGCCACAGCGAGGAGTAGAGACAAGGGCTTCATGGTGCCGCGACCTCCTCAGTCCCGAAGCCTCCTCTTCCCCCTTTCACTTTCACTTTCTTCGAAACGAAAGCAGGAGGGGCGGCGGAAATCCCCGCCCCGGGTAGGTGAGGGCGTGGGAGGCAGGTGCTTCCTTCACTGGGGGTAGGGATGCCGGACCGTCCTCCCCAGGTCCCGCGGGGGTCCTCTGCAGGCCGCGCCCCCCTCCCGAACGACCCGGCGCGTCCGAGTCCCAGCGCTCTGCCCAACCTGGGCTCCTCCTCCCGCTCCGACCCGGAGAATCCACTTCGAGAACCATTCCTCCGCCTTCCCCCACCTGGGCCGGGTCCCCAGCAAACACATAGGGGTTGTGAGAGGCCAAGTGAAACCAATAAATATTTTAATCACCATTTAAAAAAAATAAGATTTAAAATAAAAACCTTGTACTCCTACGACTTCCTCCCTCCCTGTCTCCACTCCCTCCCCAATGAGAATAGAGGGGACCCCAAGGTAGGGGAGGAAGGATTAGGGTAAATATAAGGGGCACATTCTTGGGGGAGGGTTCTAGGATAAGGATGGGGCTTCAAGGCCTGGTCCTCACAACACAAACACAGACTTCAGATACAGACTACAATCACCTGACCCTTGACCCTGTGACTCCAGGATGCTCAACAGCTGCCCTCACCCCCCCCCCCATATGCGCCATA